GAAAAATCTAATTTACAAAAGCACAGGGAAAAACTGAAGGAAGAGTTTCTGAGTATGAAATCCAGAGTAGCACACCACTTAGAATGGTGACTTAGAACTGGCATTCCCTGGGATTGCAGCTAATAAAACCAAGTTGAACTCTTACTGTTCTATTTTTTTCTGTTCTATTTTTTCCTGTTTTGCTAGTTTGTAATTCAAATTTCTCACACTGTGCAAATGTTGAATTTTTTGGTACTTTACTAGATGAACTGAGAGTATTATGATTTACATTTTTCACTTTGATGGCAGGGTGTAGGGAGGGTACAAATGATTCAGGTCACTGCCCTAATGCCTAAAGTGAAACTTTGGAACCTTGGGCAGTGGGATTAGAATTGGATAGCACCTTCCTTGGTGCCTTAAAGGCAATATGTGAGCAGCCGGGCAAAGAACGGTTGAATTACTACAGGAAATCTTTAATTTTAGGGTGTTCTTAGAAGTTTCATCACAGACCTCTGTAAACTTTTATATATAACGTTCCACTGCTGCTCAAAGATCACTGCTACTGCCATAGCACAATTGCCAACGCCAAAATACCAGAGGGCTGATTTGAGAAAATTAATTTTTTTCCGACTCCTGGGTATTGAATTGGACCCTTTTTAGAAATTACATTAGTCTCTTCAGGTAACTAGGGTGTCATTTAGTAAGTTGATATTTTAGTCAAACGAAATATATGCCTCTTCAGTCAGTACCATGCCTAAAGAGTAGTTAGACAGATGCTCCATGAATGTGGCTCTGAAAGGTCATATGGTAAGTGTCAGACTTTTTATGACAACACTGTACTCTCTTGTAAGTGCCTGAATATGGCCCATGGGAATACTAACTAAAACAACAAAGAAAGGTTTATGATGCTAAGTCTTCCACTACAAACATTTCCTCTCTTGTTACAGCCATGCAAATTATTATAGGTCCATTGACAATGGGGAAAATTTACTGAGCTTAAAACAAATCAGACAGTATTTAATGGTATAAAAAGTAAAATGGAAAAAATATGTCATAAAGCTTTGGGACCACTTAAGTTACTAAGCTATCTGTCTTAAAAGTGTATGTAGGGCTTACGAATATATTGTATACCAGAAAATTCTTTGTAAGCTCATTGAATTTCTTGTGTAATCATGTGCAGCACAGTTGAAATAAACCTACTAAAGCCTTACCTATTTTTATGTTCAGACTACATGACAGTGTCTTCACTCTTCTTCATCTGTGCAGTTCATGTGCTCCCACTATGTTTTAAGGACAATGGAATATGCTTATATACGGAGATGTGTAAGAAAATTATTCTTAAGGAGCCTGTGAAAATGTACTCACTCCTCATTCTTTTCTTTCTGTTTTGGTACCTCCAAAATTATTAAGTGAAATATATTAACCAAATTAATAATTTATGCAGAAAGAAGTAAGTTAAATGTTACATTTTTCACTTTTAGAGAGCTAATCTGAACCTCATGCACCCTGATTCCAGTATCTTTTTAAAATATCTACTCTTCTCTGCTGTCTCACTCCTCCAGGGTCTCTCATCCCTTTCACTTTAGGGCAAGGGTTGGCAAACTTTTCTGTAAAAAGTCAGTAGATATTTTAGGCCTTGTGACTCATATAGTCTGTGTTACAACTATCCAATTCTGCTTTAGGTGAGGCAGCTATAGACAATACATAAATGACTGACCACAGGTATATTCCAATAAAACTATTTGTAGACACTGAAATTTGTATTGCATATCATTTTCATGTATTACAAATATCATTTTAAATTTTCAACTATTTAAAAATGTAAAAAACATCATTGAGAACTGTACAAAAAAATTGTACATAATATAATGACTCCTGATCTAGTGGCAATGCTACCTCTTCAAGGGCTGAGTAACCTTCACTCAATCACTGTCCAAACACAAATTCTGTAAAGATGGTTCTGTATATGAAGTTTTCCCATATGACACACTCAAAGCTTTAGGTATCATCAATATGCCCATAATTTTCCATTGGTTGCCTCACTTTATTAGCTGGTCTATTGAAAACTATTTTAAGATTTTACAGGGACTTTTCTACTTTTCATCATAAAAAGTATATATAAAATAATGTATTGGGGTTAGAGATATAAAATAGTGTTTGGGGGTTAGAACAGGAAACCAGGATAAAAGGAGTATGGGTTCTGTTCCCAGTCAGTTCTTTAATTGGATAAATAACCTGACTGCTTCACATCCCATTTTCTTTGTCTGGAAAGTCAGCATTGTCAGGTGTTGTTACTAAACAGTTACATTAAATGTTAAAGGATATGGTAGGAGGTGGTGGGTGGGATTATGCTTGGATCTTCCAGAGTTGCCACATTTTCAGAAAAAAATGTATACTTTTTAGTGTCATCACATACAATTGAAAAGATGAATATTTCTGAAGAGGAATCAGGTGGGTGAACATTTTGATGTAGAAAATATAAACCCAAGGGGTGACATCAAGCAAACTACAGCACAAAATACACATATGCAAAACCTCATGGTTTTCCTGTGTGCCTACTATTAACAGGACAGGTTTGGTTTAGGGGTCTGTAAAAATGTTTTTTTCCTTTAAGTATAATGCTCAGAGCCAAGACATCATCAGTTCCAGGCTCAGTCAGTTCCAGCTGAAAGTGTGAATGTTCAGCAAAAGGATGTTTTTGAAAGGAGACTGAAAATCCACTGTGCCAGATACCTGAAACGTTGTTAGGGTATTCAGTGGAAAATTTCATTTCCACATTATAAATAACTGTAGGATATTTTAAGAGATCCAAGACTAGTAACTTCCAAGAGCTGCTTATATTAGTTCCACTGAAATGTGAAATGGAGGAAGGATACTGAGAAAGGCTATAAAGCTGAGTTACTGGATATGATTAATTAAAATAAATAATCTCACTATTGATTAAATTGCCCTTAAAATCTCCAACCACTGAGGCCTGCATAGTTTGCTATCCACCAAATAAAACGAAGGACAAAACAGCAATGGAGAAAAAGGAGGAAAAGTCCCCAAGGTGACTTCTTAAATTCAATTCTAGAATTTTTTATTTGGAAATCCCCTCTGGTGTTTATATTTGAAATATTGTTTCTTACTGTCTTCAAAGTTCCAGGAGTTCTCTGTTCTATGGACTTCCTGGGAGGAGGAGAATCCCAGAGAAGGTGGCATATCATATCACCCACCATGGCAGTTATGGAATTTTGATCTCAATTTTACCACAGAAATAATCAATTCCCATAACTGCTTCCTTCCTTTGCAGCCCCCACAGATTTAAAAACAAAAAGGGAATCGGAGATCTCTGTTAGACAGTGGCACAACATGCCCAAAGTAAAACTGGCTCCCTAAAAAGCAAAAAAAAAAGGCAGAAAAAAAAGCCATGAGTGTATGAGTGTGTGTATTTATGTGTGTCTGCGTGTGGACGTGCAAGAGTATGTGTCTGAGTGCCTGCGAGTGGATGTGTAAGGTAGGACAGCAATAAACAGCAATAAATACAGTTTCTCCTCTCTGTCTCCCTTCGGCCGCCTGTCGGACTCTAGAGACCTGTGCACGCAGGGAACGCGGCGGTGCCCGAGGTTAGAGCTCTCCCCTGTGACTGAAAAGATAATTAAAAATCGCACGCACAGGAGCCACCTCAGCTCCTGGCTGCGCTTCCAGTTGGTGGGGTCTGGCTAAATAGGTTCTCGCACCCTGGCGGTGCCTGGGCTTCGAGGCCAGTAGGCCGGGCGCGAAGAGTAGGTTGGGTACCAGGTGCCATAGCGGGTGGCGCAGAATCGCTTCTCGGAGTCACCGAAGGTGGCAGTGACAGGAGGCCGTGGGGGCGGGAGGGGCGCGGCGCAGGGCTCGTGTCTGTGGAGGGATTTGGGGAAGAGGCTGGAACATGGAGAGAAACGTGGGAAAGGAAAAGACCGACGAGGGAGGCGTGGAGCAGTGCGTGGAGGAAGGGCAGGTAAAAATAAAGCCCCAAATAGGAAGGACAGAGTAGTATCCCCTGAACTCTATCCTAACCCCCGAGAGAGCGCACACCTGGCTACCCTGCACCCCGACCTCTGCTCCCGCGGTCTGGTTGCCCCTCAGTCCCCTGCGCATCCCTTCAGAGGGGCGATCCTGGTCACCGAGTCACGCATCCACAGCCCTCCAAGCTCATCTTGTACTCGAAAGGGCTCCAGAGTCCGCGACTGGCACCAGGCCCCCATCTTCCGTGACCCTCATGCTCTCTGAGCACTTCCAGGCCGCTTCTAGGGCGCAGACCCAGGCGTGGGCTCAGCGAGTGGGAGCAAAGCTTTAAAACCAGACGGGGAGGGTCGTGGCAGGTCACTGCAAGGGTGAGGGAGGCGTTTGCACTGAGCAATAAAAACACCAAGCAATGGGTATGTGAATTGCCTTCAATAAGATGGGAGGGGATGAGAGATGCCCCAACCATCTTTCTTCTTTAATACTTCTAGGGGGAGGCATTCTAATTCTTAATTTATTTTATAAAATCACTTGTTGCTGTGTCAGCTACTCCACTAGGAATCTTTGAAACTTTGGCAACTGCTGATTCTTTTCGCAAACACGTTTTCAAGCTTTGGAAGGCTTTAACGAGTTCGATAAAAGCAAGAAACGTAGCAGTACACAACGCCTAGGGTAAAACGGCCCTGTGCGCCCTTCTTGGGGTGTAATAGCCTCAAGCGGATTTCCCGGCTTCTGCGGGCGCAGCACATTGTTTTATTTGTTTTGAAGGCTCAGAGTTTGAGGCTGGTCGTAGACACCCACGTGCTCTGACTCTCATCAGCGTAATGATCGCCTTAGCCAGAGTCGTGTCTATATAAACCACAAAAACCTAATCATTAGAAATCCCAGCCTCCAAAAACCACATTTTAGGTAAAAAGTGCCGCTTTTTTTTTCCCGCGCTCCTTCATCCTCTCGACCACAACTTTTTGGGGGATCCAAAGTCGCTTTTTAAACCCACACTAGGAAATAAATACATAAAATAAACAGCCACGGAAACATTTTGAATTTTTTAGTTTGTATTTTTAATTTTTTCCCGGGAGCGGTGGGGAAGACAGACACGAAGCTTAGTCTTAGATGTAAAATAGACTTAATAAAAGATTTAAATTCATAGAAAACGGCCGATGCTTTCCCCCAGCGAAGATTTTTCAACTTATTTTAATCACCAAGCTGACAGTTTTTCAGTCCCCCCCAAAAAAACCCAAAAAACCCAACTCCTTCTTGTTCTCTGGGAATAAGAAGATTGAATATATAAGAAAAAAGAAATGTCCAGCTATGTACTTGAGTTCCTAAAAACTATTTTGACTAGTTCTCCCCCCACCGCCCTCATTTTTTGTGTCACTTAAAACAAAAAACACCCAAACCCTGCAAAATCTTTTTCCCCTGGGAGCCTCTCCGACAGAGGTGGGGGTTGGGGGTGGGAGGGTGAAGAGTGCTGAGAAGTCAGCCCAGACGCTCAAGAATTTTCCTTCCTCCTCTCCTGAAGTTACAGCGAAAAATAGCGACAGTCAGATCAGCCGGGAGCTCTCTGGTGTCTCGGCTTTAGTCTCTTCCGACCAAGAGGGGGTTCCTTGTCCTAGGGGTGGGGAGAGCAAGAGGACGCTACCAGGCGAGATTGCCCCTAGACTGGGGCCGCCTCTCGGCTTCCAAAGCTGCACAAGGCGCTGGGGGCTCCTTCCCGCGGCCGGCTGGCGGCGGCAGCGGCTGCGATTCGCAGGCTAGAGATCCGTTGCCCCGAGATTCGCTGCCCACGACTTACCTCTTGGCACCTTGAAGCGCGAGGGACAGGGGAGCTTTGCAAATTGCAGGAGGGAGTGGATGCAAGGAGGTGGCGGTGAGAGGGCGAGAAGAAAAGAAGGGAAAGGAAGGAGCCCAGCTGGGGAGCCGAGCTGGCAGCAGCCGCGGGAGGAATCTGAGCGTGCAGCAGGCGCGGGGGGAGCGGCGGCCGCCGCGGAGGAGGCGGCGGCGCGGGAGGGCGGAGGCGCGGCCGCCTGCAGCTGGGTAGCAGCGCGCGGCGCGGCGCGGAGCGGCGCGGCGGTGGCGGGCAGCGCGCGGCAATGCTGGCCAGGGGGCTGGACTGCTGAACCAACACCGCTTCACCACCGGACTCGAACTGGGAGGGGGCGCCAGCGCACCCAGGACGCGGTGCCCCAAGGGACCCCACTCCAAGCTGCAAACTCAAGTCCCCCTCCTCCCCGGGCCAAACACACCCCCGCGCCCGTTCGCAGCTGCCACCCCGGGTGTTCCATAGGCTCCGGCAAAGATCTGCGTCTCCCGGGTCTCCCTAACCCGCCAGCCCGACTGCGCCGCATCGCCAGACTTTGTTGGCCCATCAGACTCCGCCCGGCAGTCGGCCTCATCAAACTTGATTTCTCATCTCCTCAGCCCCATCACCTCCATCCTCTTTTCCCCCGTCTCGCCTCCACCCCCCCAATTTCCTCCTTGCCCCTCATTTCCACCCTCCTCCCCCTCCCCCGGCCACTTCGCTAACTTGTGGCTGTTGTGATGCGTATTCCCGTAGATCCGAGCACCAGCCGGCGCTTCAGCCCCCCCTCCAGCAGCCTGCAGCCCGGCAAAATGAGCGACGTGAGCCCGGTGGTGGCTGCGCAACAGCAGCAGCAACAGCAGCAGCAGCAACAGCAGCAGCAGCAGCAACAGCAGCAGCAGCAGGAGGCGGCGGCGGCAGCGGCGGCGGCTGCGGCGGCTGCGGCAGCAGCAGCTGCAGTGCCCCGGTTGCGGCCGCCGCACGACAACCGCACCATGGTGGAGATCATCGCCGACCACCCGGCCGAGCTCGTTCGCACCGACAGCCCCAACTTCCTGTGCTCGGTGCTGCCCTCGCACTGGCGCTGCAACAAGACCCTGCCCGTGGCCTTCAAGGTAAGAGGCTACGCCGCCCCCCGCCCCCGGCCGGGAGCCGCGGAACCTGCCCGCCGGTGTCTTCCTGCCCACGGGGCTGGGCCCCGGACGTCCTCCAAGACCGCCTGCCTTGGCGACTCTGACCCCAGAAACCCCCGGCTGGGCCTCTCCCTCCGGATGCCTTGGCGGGCTTGGGCCGCAGTCCCTCCGCGCAAATCCCTCCCTCGCCCACCTGTGCCCATGGCCACCCCGACTTCAGCCCCCGTCCCCCAGACCCGCTCATTACCCCTCATGCCTCATGCCCGGCCTCCGTTCTCACCCACTCCTTGGCGCCGTCTCCCTTTCCCCCAGGATCCCCAAGGTGCCCACTCTCTCACTGCTAGTGGACTTGCTCCACCCCGCCCCTTTCCCGGGGGCGAGGATCCCCGACACTGTCCCCCGGGGCTCCCGCGTCCTCCTCCCCGGACATCCCAGCCTGGCCGCATTGCGGGCTGCGCATGCCGCCTCTCTTTGGGGCTCCGCGCGCTCCCACCCGCTTCCCTTCCAGCCAAACGACCCTCCGCTGGTCTCGGTGACCGCTTCCCCGACCCGCAGAGCTTAGCGGTCCTGGCCCCTCCCGGGCTCCGGGGCCGGGATTCGCGGGGTGCCGGAGCCCCGCAGTAGTGCCCGGGGCTGGGCGTGGGGTGCTGACTGAGGCGCGCCGGCTGCACTACCCAAGCCCAGGAAGGTCCGGGACAAGCCGAGGGTCTCCAGAGGAGGGGTGTCAGGACGGGGGCGCTTGCTCTGTTCGCTGACCTACGCCGGATCCCGTTACCGGGAGGAAGGCGGGGCCGCCGAAGCGTCCGCGCGCCCCGGAGCGGGGGAGTTCAGGGGGCCTGGGGCTGAACCCTCGAGTGCTGGGAGGCTCGGGCCAGGGGAGGGGGCGGGAGCTCGGGCCGCTTCTTCCAGCCGGGACCAAGCTCTGCGCCTCGCCCGGCCAGGGAGGGATGAGGGAAACCTGTGGAACAACTTCGGTTCGCCCAGCTTGAAAACGGAGGTGAAATTTTGCATTTTTGCTTTATTATTATTATTAAAGGACTTAAATTTAAAAGGTCCCTCCTGCTTCTGAAAGGTGGTGAGAGGCTCCTGCCGATGGCCTGAGCACGGAGTGAGCTCGGAGGCTTGAGAGAGGCCGCTGCGCGTCCCGCGGACTCTAGTGCCTGCCCGGCCCGTTAGTTTGCGAGTGGGTGGCAGCCGCGGGAGTCGCAGTCAGGTGCTCTACAGGTTGAGGATTTAGGATCTGGAGCCTCTCACAGTAGCCCGATGGGCCTCCATAACTTGATCCGGATTTCCCGGGGCAACCCTCTCCAACTGGGAGACGCCGAACCCCCAGGGCCCAGCGCACACTGGGTTGATGGGGAGTCGGGTTCCCGGGCTGTCCACAAACGCAGGACTGTACCCACCGCAAGACGTCAGGGATGCAGGGGGCGGTAAGCCAGACGTGGAGATGAGCACTCTCAAAAAGGTGCCTTGGGCCATTTCTAACCTCTGAACTTGAGTAGGTGGGCCTGGGTCCCCTGGGTTCTGAGGTCTGTGGAGAGTAGGGCACGAAAGGCCTTGGGGGAGGTGAAAAAACAAACAAAAAAAGTTGGGGGGGAGATCAGTCCAGTTTCTCCACTGGGGACCTTGGAGCCAAACTCCCACGGGCCACTGACAATTCCCAGTTGTTGATCACCCCCACCCCAGGCACCAATTCAGATTCCGTGTGTGGGTGGGATGGAAAGAAAGAGGAGTCCAGGTCAATTAGAGCTGATTATCTCGCTAGGTCTGATATCAGAACAGAAATCAGAATGAATTGTTATGGAAAGGGGATGTTGCATTCTGGGGCAAGTTTCATTTTGCAGTTGGCTCAAGAAATTTTTTTTTTTAACCGTCACATTTCTCTTTTTATAAACCACCCATTTTGTAGGTTAATGTTTGGTAACTTGAAATAGGAAAAGCTCAGAATACATGTGAACTGTAGAAATTTAAATTTCCACACAAGAGATATCTTTTACAATGTCCATTGTCTGAGGGCCCAGAATTTTTAAATTAGCCTTATATGAGAATGGAAATTTGTTTTCACCAACACCCCTCCAATCCTCCAAACCAAAAGCCACCTAAGACCCCAGACCTGGATGAAAGCAGCAAAAAATACAAATAAGTAGGTATTGTGTCTGCATAATGCCACAAATCAGAATATGTGAAAATATAAGAATAGATGCTTACATTTTTAAAGATATTTAGATCCTTGATGTTCCATATACCATTCTGCTAAACATATTTAAGGTCTATCTTGAAATATCCTCTTCTATTTATGCTACTGAATTGATTTGAACATGAGCATTTTGGATGGAAAGAATGTCTTTTTGCAATTTAGCTTGAGCTAGTCTCAGATATTTTGGTTGTCATTTAAGATTTTTTCATTACCACCCTTTAAAAATTATTTTGAAAATACATTTTGTTCTTTGTTATTAATCAACTTGTGAATTACAGAATACATTTTTTTGTTATCTTAAGCAGTAGACAGACTGTAGATAACAAGACCATATTTAATCAAATATTTTAATTTATATCAATTGAATAATGAATTGAGTTAACCTAAATCCTGACTGTCAATGTCTCTCTACCTCCACATCTGTGTTAAACAGAATTCAAAACGTGGGTGATAGCTAAGATCTACTCAGTATAGAAGTTTTGTCTCTCTGTTGAAAAGAAATGTATGGATGTTTGGAACATCCAGATTGTGACAGCCTCTCTTTATCCTACTTTTGGAATAAAAGCCTGAGAGCACTAGACTTTCTACACTCTTGCAATATAATCAAATACATCTGCAATGAAGAAATAATATGAAGAAGTCTCCGTTTTAAAAGTGGTGACAGCAATTTGGCAGTGATATTTAGAGCTATGTAAAAAATAAATTATAGTGGTTGTCAGGTAGATAGCAGATAGGTAAATGCATTTAAACACACACAAAACTTATTTGTTGTGAAGTCTGGTATTCAAATTAATACAATATTTATTGAGCCCGTATTTTGTATCTGTGGCACTGAGCTTGACACTGCAGAGAATCAGAAATGAATTAAATAGACTGTTTTGAAATGTCAATTTAAACTAGTATTTAAACACGATATTGGCAATGTATTGAATTAAGAATGTATTAGCGTTCATCTACTCTTGTTTTGGGATTATATAACATTTATTTATTTTTACATGTAAAAATGCAAAAACAACTAGTATACTTTTCATAAAGTTGTTTATTAACATTGTATTTTTAACAAAGTTCTGCAGTTTTGAAATGTTTGGTCCCCCCAGGTGTCAAGGAAACGGAAATAAATATTTTTAACATTTTCAGGTGTATCTCACTGAAACCTTAAAATAGTTAAGACATACTATTAGAGGATTCCAGACCCTTTCTATCCTAGATAATTCTGGTGAGAAAGAAGTAATTTGCAAATTCAGCTCATTAGCTGATGGTCAGGTAGTAGTGGAGAGAACATGTCAACTCTCCATCCGGTAGCACCCTTTTAGTTAGGGGTCTGTCAGCATTTCCACCGTGAAGCCTGGTGTTCAGGGTTCATAACTTAGTTGCCTTAAATAGCTTCAAGCTGAAACACTATGCAGAAATTTTAAGTCCAGATGTACATTTTAAAACTAAAAGTAGTGCAAGCCTATTCTGCTGTTTTAAGTTAGAGAACACTGGACTATATATATTTATCAGTATCATATGTTTTCCTGGCAGTGTTAAAGAAATAAAACACATTTTTAGATATATAATCTGGCACTCATAGTTAATTCTGTATTTTTAATAATACCTTTCAGTGCATGTCAAAAGGAGGGGTTTCAAAATGACAGAGCAATTTCTGTTTGACAATAATTTTTCGACATCACTAGCCATTTTTCTCTCTCTGAAAACAAATATGCAACTAATAAATACTTGATACGTGAGTAGTATTTTTCTTACATAGTTAATGATCAGATTTTATATTTATATTTTTTGAATCTAATTGTATCTAAACAAAGGAAAATAGGTTATTAAGCCTGTTAAATCCTTATTAACCTTAATATAAATTATCAGGCAAAATTATGTAAAACAATAGATTTCAAGTTGCATGAAGACAGACACATTTTTGTGTTATGCCTTTCAGTGAAAAAAAACTTATTTAAAGTTAAATATTTCGGCACTGAATATATAAACTTCCTAGTATGGCAGTTGGAACAAATAATTTCAGGTGGAAAATAAATACTTAAAAAATTTTTAGAACACTTGTATTAAATATTTGAAAATAGGTATGGTAGATATCTTTAATTATTTTTTCCCCTTTGGCATTATGGGTTGTATCCCTTCAAAATTCCAAAATATCTATTGTTAGATGATCTAAACCACCTTGATACATGGCCCACAAGTTGCTACTTTAAATTGAAATAATTTTTATCAAAATTTCCCTTTGACATGCATTTTTTAAAATTATGAAATGATATGCTGTGTTTTTCTTCTCTATAATTCAATGGGTTTTTCCTAAATTCTAGGATAAATTCAAAACATTAACTGTAGTATTGGTTGAAATGTTTTGATACTGTGCTTAAAGTTATCCTTAAATAGTTATGATGGGAATAACATTTTTGCTTTTTGCAATTAGATTCACTTCTCTTTTTATTGCAAAGGAAGATCTGATCAGATTTTATCTTGAAAAATAATTATATTTCAATTATACCACAAGTATAATGTCCCAAATTATGCTGACCTATAAGAGTATTTGATTAGTTAAGACTAGACTTCTGTCCATGAAAATGTCATGGGCAATTTTAATTTCCATATAAAAAGACGAGAGAAACTGTTTTAAGGGTTTGAGTTAATTCTCCATTCCTCTTCTTTTAGTGATTCACAGATTTAGTCATAAGGAGCCTCATACAAAATTTCAATAGCATTACTGCAGTTAAATATCCTTTTGCTTTATTTTGTGCAAACCACATATCATGGGATTTAAATGCTGGTTATAGTGTGGTGCGCTAAATAAAGGAACGTCTTTCACTATTCTGAAACGTCAGGACAGAAAACTTCTCCTTTTCTCATGAAGTTTCTTGAATTTGTAGATTTTATATTTTAAAAGCACCTAGAAATGTAATTGTTAAGATTTCATCGCAAATTATTCTTTGCAGAGGAGTACTTTCGTATTGGGTAGAATGGAAGTAAACCTTAACTTGTGCTTACTCCTAACTAGTTAAAGAGTGAGTTTTGACTGCGCCTTACCCCTTAAAATGTTTTTCCATTGCTTGGTTTTGGTACAGATGAAATGTGTAAAAATTTTTTGATTCTTTTGGTTTTCTTTTAGATAAACACAGTTGAGAATCTCCAAGGGAAACTTTTTAGTTTCAGAGATCTACTTAAAGAAAAAACTTCTCAAACATATAATTATATTTCTTATTGATATAAAGTCAAATATAGTACTTCCCCCAACTCCCAGCCTTTTTCTCCCCTCAGGAAAACATTGGGCAATGTGATTTGGTAGAGTGAATAGCAGAAAAAAACCAGTATATTTAGCCATCAAACTAGAGTTCAGCCTTAGCAGGAAAGATTGTCGCTACATAGCATTAGTAATTTTTTCAGGCCTTGCTCTAAGCCTCATAGAAGAGTCACACAACTTGTGATTATTTATTTGTTTTGTAAAATGTGATATGTATAACATACCCATGTTGAATATGGTCAGTATTAACTGCTTAAGCACAGTAAAATGGATTTATGTATTTCACTCTTAGGAATCTTTTCTTTCATATTTTCCCATATTGAATCAATTTGCCATTTCTTCTAACTAAAAAAAATCCATTATGTTAAAAATATGCAGTAAAATAATAATGTCCTAGAGCTCTTGAAAACCTTTATATTGGGCAGGATTGCTTTATTTTTTTTCTGAAATGTAGCCAGACTCAAGTTAAATCCACCAGCAGTCATCCTGTATCTCTCAACAACACCAAAGAACATCTCAGGACATGAAGTGAAGAAGTACATATTCAGTTGAATCCTTTAAGGATGCTTATAAGTAAAAGCCTATGTTTAGCAGACAGCAGATTTGGAAGAGAACACTGTGTTACCCTCCTCATCTTACAAAAAGCACATCATTATAATTACACTCTATACTTACATGGTATCTTCTACATTTTGCATACTTTCCAATTTGTATTGGAAAACTGTGGTTCCTGGAGATGAAGTTATTTGTGTGAAGTCATGGCAGATATGTAGCAGAAGTGGGGAAAAAGTGGAGCCTCTTGATTTTAGTGTATTCATTCTCTTCTAAACAGTACAACTTTTCTCCTGCCTTTATTAATATGCTTACTGGGTCCATATTTACTTTGACATAGAAAGCCACACAGCAGGTGTTAAAACACAATATGCCGAGTGTATAAAATGTCAAACATTCAGATGAATCCTGGCAAATGTAGTCAATTATTGCAGTATTTTCAAATGTTCACATTTTTGGCATGGTGAATTTGAAAAATTGAAAAGCATATTGCATCCATCAGGAGTATAGTATTACCTGTATTCAGTAGCCACTTGAGGTACGAGATGAACTATGCAGGGAGGAAGTCTTGTTCTCAAGGGATATTACTTTTGACTCAGGAGACTCCCGGGAAAGGGGCGGCAGCATGGTTCCTGCTTCTCTGGGATGAAAACGTTGTCAGAAAATGAGTTTGGAGCAAGGGCACATTGCTGTTAGCAAGGGGTGCTGACTCAACATCAACTGGCCTTCTTAGAGTTTTAGCTGGTAGCCCCACAGACTTCTGTCTCTGCAAAGTGGGGCTCTTTATGGAGATCTTTCATTTATTTCAAAAATATTTATCTGGCTGGGTGCAGTGGCTCACACCTGTAATCCCAGCACTTTTGGAGTCTGAGGTGGGCAGATCACCTGAGGTCAGGAGTTCAAAACCAGCATGGCCAACATGGTGAAATGCTGTCTCTACTAAAAATACAAAAACTAGCTGGATGTGGTGGTGGATGTCTGTAATTCCAGGTACTCAGGAGGCTGGGGCAGGAGAATCACTTGAACCTGGGAGGTGGAGGTTGCAGTAAGCTGAGATTACGCCACTGCATTCCAGCCTGGGTGACAGAGCGAGACTCTGTCTTATATATGTCTTAAAAAAAGCATATATATATTAAACACTTACCATGTGCTGGACACTGTTTTGGGAGCAGGGTAATAAGTATAAACAAGACAGATGAGATGAAGGCCCTTCTCTAGTGTAGTTTCCAAACTAATATAATCTGGACTCCTGGAGTGAGTCCCTCAGCTTTGGACTGGTATATTTAAAGCAGCCATAGACCATTAATATTAATATATGTACATTGAAATGAAGATCGCTTGAGTACAGTGGGATGCTGTGGAAAGTGGGGCCTGTAATTTAAGGAAAGCTTTATTGATTTTTGAACTGAATAACACAGTGCTAAATGGAAGGAATGGAATTGAGAAACAGCCTAAGAAAAAAGAGTGACAAAAATATTGACAAGTTTTTTGTTTGTTTGATTGTTTTACTGGCTGCAGGAAAGGACATAGTGGAAGGAGTATTGCAGTAGGGTTCATGGATGGGGGAAACTCAGCCCTAAAATATAGGTACAGCGTCTATTATCATACTATATGAAATCTACTTTAATAAGCCAATTCTATGGGAAAATGGCATTAAACGTTTGTGCTTGTCTTATGGAAATCTTCACAAAGGAGGACTAGCACTAGAAGTAGGAAAAGATAAGTGGGATGTTTACGAGTCAGGCAAGCACACAGGGGTGTTATTGTCAGACAGTCGTGGGCTACTTTAGCTGGGGTCATTGTTGAGTTACTATGAAGGCATCTGGAAACAGAATGAGGAAGATGTGGAAATAATCTGAATATAGAGTCCTGGAAGTTAGTTGAGAGAAAGGATTGTTACCGAGGGCAGGATCTTGGCAGTGGATTAGGGGGAATATGTTTTATATATGACAGTGAAGGATCTGCACCAGTATCCCTTTACCAGGCTCTGTGTTAATCAGAGGCACACATTTGCACGTTTGCAGACCCAGGTTAAAGTGTGATCTCTAGTCTTGGAATAGAGAAAATGTTTGTTAGTTCCAAAGATGGATTAATCTAGACCTTTTCTTGATTGAGTTAATTTGCTTCAGATTACCTGTTGAAGATGAAGCAGTCAAGTAATGTCATTCCAGGAGGGCAGCTGGGACAAGACATCATAGATGTCAGGCTAAGGGTATAGATTTTTTTCTTAATATTTCTCATCAATTATTTTTACCTTCAGTTTCTTGATGACTTCCGATATCCCACTGGGTCCCACTACAGAGTGGGTATTCAGTGAATATGTATAGTGTCATTAAAAGCCGAAGTGCTAGCCCAAAGTAAGGAGATAAAGACCACACCATATCCAGGCTCTATGTAGTCAGAAACTCCAGGGTTTCACTTAAAAATCTTCTCCCATGGAGCTGACCAGACTTGCTAGTTTTTAGCCTGTGATGGGATAAGACCACACCTCAGGGCTCTCCCTGAGAGGAAGGCTGCAGACAGGTGATGCCTTGATCTGTATGATACAATCTGCAGATGGGGCATCCACTTTCCTTCTGTGGCATAATTCCCATGGACAACTTAACATGGGGATTTAATAAAAATTACACATTTTCTGTGAAGAATCCAACAACAAATGAAGAAAGTTTTTGCCTGTCTTTCAAATCAGTGGACCCTGAAACACTGGTCTGTTTGAAGTGGCATCACAACTCATACACAGATGCCTCATTCCTGTCGGCCATTACTGGGCTGGAGTAGAACACTGAGTCCTGATAAGACACATCATTTACAATGAGAATATATTCTGTTTGTAAGCCTTTCTGATGTGCCATTATTGCTGCTGTGTTTCCTGTTTTATGTAGGTGGTAGCCCTCGGAGAGGTACCAGATGGGACTGTGGTTACTGTCATGGCGGGTAATGATGAAAATTATTCTGCTGAGCTCCGGAATGCCTCTGCTGTTATGAAAAATCAAGTAGCAAGGTTCAACGATCTGAGATTTGTGGGCCGGAGTGGACGAGGTAGGTCTCTGACTTTTGATACTGATAATGGAATAAGCACATTAGGCCCCTTTGATGAAATGTAGACTAGTCTGTATACAAATCAGCACCTTCTTTTTCTAAATAGAATTACTAAAGATTTGATTTAAATACATCCAGATGAAGTTGAGTGTTTTTCTGAGTACTCAGGCCTTTTTCATTTATTTTATGATATTGAAAATTCAAACAATATTTTCAGAAAAACTAGTTTCTAATTTCACTGGGTGTGAGTATATAAGGTAGAGAAAAGGACAGTTGGAGGATCAACTTCTGAATTATGAGGAGTCAAATAACTGAGTAAATTGAGTGGCAAAGGGGAAAGAAAAATGGATATGTTGGATTAATTTCCTGATAATATCAGTTTTCATTTGAGTTGTAGCAAGGACAGCTAGCATAATGCTCTTTACTTATCACAGGTTACCTCTATACGATTTAATTTACCCTCATAATAATAATTTATTAAAAATCATGTTTTTTTAATGTAAGGCTTTTCATTTGAATAAGTGAATAATGTATTCCTTTTGTTAGAATGACTATGTAAAGTTGCCTAGACAGATGAATGATTAGTGCTCTAATATTAATAGTTCCATACTATGTAAGGATTTCTACCATCTGAATCCATATGAAAAAATTAGAGATCTTTAAAAGGATCATACATAGAAAATTATCCCTATTAGAGTTTTTGTAACTGTTTGATAAATTAGGTTAATCTTTTTAAAAAAAGTCTCTAAGGAGGCCAATATTTTGGCTTTTATTTACTTATTCTACAGAGACACTTTTACTAGTTACTCGCCTATTAGAAGCATTATGCTTATTTATTTACTTACCGAATCTATTATTTCCATTTTAAGTATTTTGATAAGAAGAGAGAAAATAGACCACTTTAGGACTGAGGTGAAATAAAGTCTTATGGCATCACTGCAACCCAGGTTTGAATAGGAAATGAGAAGCACAGCTTTTTAAACCATGTCTAATAACTGCTCTTTAGTTTGGATCAGATGTCAAATTATTACCATTGTAAAAACTTGATAAGGGAAATTCAAGCAAGGCTGTTTCCGATGAGTAGTTTTAGTTTACTTTCTAGGAACAGGGCCAAGAAGTTGTACTTTTTAACTAAAAAAAAAGATTCATGCTAATGAGATACTGTCACTGACAGGTTGTTTGAAATAAAATGAGGCTCACAGCCTCTGGTAGAATCAAAACTAAGGGGGTTATCTCTGTATCAGGTTTAGTTCACTTTCATTAAAAGAGGAAAAAAGACAAATCCTGTATCACTATTGACTGATTAGGTTTGGAGTATGTGTTTGTGTGTTCATTCTTCCTTTTTCTCATTTACTTATGCAGGTCCACTATGCAATTAAAGTTTCTCTTTTATTCTATTAAGAATGAAGAAAAATGTGAACATGATGATTTACCTGTATGCTCTGAATTGCATCTTTCTTCTTATGTAATAATACTTTCTTTTTAACTAGAGTAACGAATTTTAGTTTTTAAAGGATTGGATGCCATGCTTGATTTTACATTACAGATTCAAGCCAGTGTTTTCATTTATCTTGCTTTTGTATTATATAGATGCTGCATAGCTTTTTTCTGATCAATTTGAATAGAAGCTATGGCAAAGTGATAGTGTACTTTGTAAACCCTCAACATATTTATTTAAGAAACTTCAAAGAGAAACAAAGGGTGTGCACTGTTTTACTATATTGGCTTTCTGAGTTTTGGCTGGTTTCCCAAATAGCAATTTTTATATTTAAAAAAAAAAGACAGACTTAACTGCTTGCAGACTTTTCACGCATGGAAGATGAAGAAAGCTTCTTTTGATGAAGTGTAATTATGTCCAAACAGAGCTGACCCCCTCCCCCTATATTTCTTATGATCTTAACTGAAGAAAGTAGGATTTTTCCTTTGAAGCAGCCGGGACTTGGTGGAGGATCTGAAATGCTGCAGTCTGCTGCCAGAGGCAGGATGGAGAAATTGGTCCAGACTTGTCTTCAAAACTTAGATGGGGGGTAGGGGGAGTGGGTGGAGAGAGAAAGAAAAATTGATTTATCACTAATAATAGATTTTTATATCACTGTATTAACATTGTATGAAAGGAAACAGTAATATCAAGCTGAGATGAAGAGAAAAAAAGGACAGAAAACACTGATAACAGATCAAACTCTGAAAAAAAAAATGGGTCAGTTTTTCAGTGGCAGGAAACCCTTTAACCTGCCTTTGTACCCTTTGTACCTGACCTGCTTTATAACAGACTCTTTCCAACTTCCTCTTTGATTTTGACACTTCTACAGTTCTCTTATTAAGTCTGGATCAACATGCTGCTACCATTGTATTTTTTTTCCCGGCCTTAAATACTTCTATTTTCAGTAGTGTTACAAAAAAGCACCAAGTTCCTCAAATATTACATTTTTTTTCTTTCCACCGATAGAAACATAAACTCTCAGAAATTGAAAAACAATCTTAGATTATAAAGGAGTCATGTCATTGCTGACTTTGGCTTTATGGGTCATCTTATGACCACAACTTTTGAAAGTGCTGGAATAAAAGTAGAGCATCAATGGAACTTGCATTAAGTTAGAAGTGGCTTATGTTTTTTATTGTCTTTTCCTTTTTTTTCTCCTTAATATTTTAAAGAGAAGTGTTTAAAATGATTTTGGTCCTTAAATTGTTTTTTGGTATACTTTCTTTTTTCATCATCCATGATGAAGCCATGGATGACACAATTAGTTATCTACTGACTGCTAGCTCCCTCAATAAGAGCCTGCATTTTAAAATAAAAGCCTGCTTTTAAAAAAAATCACTTATGGAAAGTGAAAAAAGTGGATTTTTGAAAAAAAATTAATTTAAGGAAATCATGAATGCCCACATAAATATTTGACTTAGGAAGTGCATTATTATTATGGGATAAAGAACCAATTACTTAATTGGTTGGTAATTTCTGAAAGTTTCTTCAACATTGCATACATATTTCTTTTGAAGGGTCAATAAGAAGTAAAAGGAGCCTCATTTACTTTTGCTGCAGTTGTTAAGTACATCTTGATCCTCAGGGTTTGATTTTGGGAGATCATAGTTACACTTAAATACATGTTTCCTCCCCTAAACCCATCTCTTTTTTAAAAAAAGTTTTTATAGAGAACTGATTCCACTCTGAGCATTTAAATGCTTTATACTTGAAGGGTGAATTTTATATTTGGCTTTTGTTCCTGCATGTGGTGTCTCCCTCAGTTTAGGGGAAACATAGATGACTTTTCATATCTTAAGTAAGTTGTAAAGGTCTAAAGTAGAACTATTCCCAAAACTGATTTCAATAAATTTAGGGACAATCTCCTTTTCTCTCTCTCTCTCCTTTTTTTTTAATTGCGACAGAGTCTCACTCTGCGCCCAGGCTGGAGTGCAGTGGCACAATCTTGGCTCACAGCAATCTTCACCTCCTAGGTTCAAGTGATTTTCATGCCTCAGCCTCCTGAGTAGCTGGGACCATAGGCGTGTACCACCACACCCAGCTAAGTTTTGTATTTTTAGTAGAGACAGGGTTTCATCACATTGGCCAGGTTGGTGTCGAACTCCTGACCTCAGATGATCCACCCACCTCCACCTCCCCTGGTCCTGGGATTACAGACAGGAGCCACCGTGCCTGGCTGACAATCTTTCTAGCAGGTTATATTTAGAGACATTCAGGATACTTCAGATCTCTGTACATCCTTGATTTATTAAGATGAGTGCCATAGATGAAAACTGACTCTGGAACACAGCCATGGGAGCCACTGTTAAAAAGGCAATCCTGGCAGTCCATAGACCACTAATCTGACCCAAAATGGCACTTTAAAATGTTTTAGTGTAAATTAACTTTCAATCTAGAGATTCAGCTGTTTCATTTTCTGCAATCTTTCCATTGTTTTCAGGTTCTAACTTGGACCTCGTGGCTTCCTATTCAAGTTTCTGGTCTCTTTTTCTGTAGACTTTTTAGTTTTCTGTAACTAGTTTAAACTCCTGGCTGGTTTATTCTTCTGGTTAGTCTTAATGTTTATAATAAAGCCTCTCTTTGCTAACCAATTATAAATAATTTAAATTTATGTAATATCCAATATAGTCGATAAAATATGATATTTCAACGACTCTTTCGATGCTTTCATCACCCTGAGATATTGCATTAGTCCATTTATACTTACTGTTTCTTGGGCACGTAGACCTGATTGGGACACATCTAGAAATAAATTACTTATTAATTTTTTCAAGTGGCAAGTGATCAAGCCACTTAAGGAAGTGGCCAAGTGACAGACTATTTTAAAAAAAAGAGCATTAATTTTAGGGTCTGAAAAATGAGGTTCAGATCCTCATTTTTCCCATTTATTAGTTGTGTGAACTTGGGTAAATTACTAAGTCTCTTGGGGCTTCAGTCTTCTTATTTGTGAAATGGGGGTGAGAAATCTAAGAAGGGAGGATTAAATGAGATAATGTTTATGAAGTGGCACTTAATACGATTCTAATTGTTATTCACCTTTCCCTATTCAAACTGCGTCCACCCCATTCCTGGTTTTTCTTTCCTGTTTTATTCCCTTTGGCCATGAAAAAGTATAGCCAAGGAGACCTAAAACTATTTATACTCAGTAACAAATGATGTGTGTCTTAAACAGATTTTAGGAACTTAAATGGTCTAGGTTGAAAAGAAAACCCATTCACTAGACTTGACAGCCAAAGACCTGTTCTACATTAAGCCTTATATATAACCTGTTCCATATTAAGCTTTGAAAAGACTGCATTAAACTTTGCCTTGGTACATATTGTCAAAGATTTGTGTTTTGGTTTAATACTCTCAGTGTTCAGTAAAGGGCAAAAGAATCTCTGACCAAAAAAATAAAGCAAAACAAAATGAGCTTTTTAAAGGTCTGTTACAGGAGCAGACTAAATGAGTACTCTGGCCTGAGATTGCTGAATGTTTTATTGAGTCACTGTTTTACGCCCACCTCTTCCTGTCTTGTAACAGTTTGCAGTTTTGACTATCTGACATGATTAACCGTTGCAAATCTAACTGATTACAACTGTTAGTGAGTCTGTGCAACAGAGAGTGGTATCTTCTTCTGGAGAAAGAAGACATCCAAATCTGCTGCTCAACTTTTCCCTTCTTACTCATCGCTTTTAGCTCATTATTTTGAAGCATCCGATGTAATATTTCAGTGAAGCACTCCTTCTGCTAAAAGCAAAATTTGTGTTTATATTGAGAGATGTCATGTTCATTTAGCAAAACGTAAGTCACTGTCAGGGAGTTATTTCAAGATGTAACGGCAGGGATGTATGTTAGAGGAGGGGTAGGCAGGGAGGAGAAAATCTTTGTTCCAGTAATGATGAAATCATCATACCACAGGCACATTAAGGCCAGGACAGGAGACACTGGCTCCTGTTAAAATGATTCCCATAAGAACTTGCCTCTTTTATCTTCTTATTGTAGTGCAGCTAAGCAAATGAAATGCTAAAGCCATTTGAAGTAAATAACATAATCAACAATGATTTACTATTGTTCTCTCATGAGGTCATGACCTAGCCCTAAATAAAGACTTCTAAAATTGTCTGTGCTTGGACATGTTCCTGATGTTGGAGAAAACTGAAAGAAAAGGAACCTTCCTCAAGTGGACCAGGGTTTTTGTTTTCATTACAACTGTTGCTACTGAGGAGCTTTTTTGGAATTCAAGTCTTCTTGTGTAGTACTGCAATGAGGGCAATGATCTTGACACTAAGCAAGTTTGGAAATGTCCTCAAGTGGCCATCGGAGGGTTTCCAGTTTAGAAGAAGGAGTCCTGACTCTTGTCTTAGTGTCATTGCCTCCCTAGAGATGCTTATGCAGTTTGGAAATCTATGTTGCTGTGTAATCATCAGTATTGTCTTTTAATATTCACTATATATTTTCCCCTTTTCTATCTGCAGGCAAGAGTTTCACCTTGACCATAACCGTCTTCACAAATCCTCCCCAAGTAGCTACCTATCACAGAGCAATTAAAGTTACAGTGGATGGACCTCGGGAACCCAGAAGTAAGTACTCCCCTCTTTATTGAAAATGGTAATAACGTTTCCAGAGACCCTGTGAGGCATTTATTCCAAATGAGTTAGTGTTACTTTCATGTCCATTGTGTCTTTGCAGAGTTTGCTATCTGCATTTTTTATTTATTTTTTATTTTTATTTATTTATTTTTTTAAGTGAGGGACAGTTAGTCAAACTTCAGAGTTAGTAGAAAATAAAATTACGGTTTTAACCTTTGCCACATAATTGCTAAGGCCTCCGTAGCGTTGGGAAATGAGTGAATAATTATTCAGTTGGTGTTAACTATTTGCTAAGAAATTCTTCTCATTTAGTGAACATAATAGGGCATAATAGACCCAAGAGAGCTGAGGAAGAAAACAGTAAACTTAAAAATCTTGAGCTTAGTCAAAAAGCATTTGCATGTGTTTCCCATGGCCTAAGAATGTGTTTTAGCTTTTTAACTCGCCCACTCAATTCCCTTTATGAAAAGCACACTGCTTAATTACAAAGAATTTATTTGCAAATGATAACTTGCTTGATTGTTACAACACTGTTGTTTGGTCATGCTCTAGTAATTGTTATAGGTAGTTTTCTTTTAACAGATAGAGTCAAACAACCTTTAAATCCATCTTGGTTTATTTGTCTGTCTGAACATCCAGAAGGTTTCACCGGCAATCAGTTTCAGGTAGAGCACATAATCTCTTTGGGCCAATATGTATCTTCCTTCTAAATCTAAATTGAACGAGGTTTACTTCCCCCACCCCCAGCAAAAAACTAATTTGAACAAACTCAGCATAGCGGTATTTATTTAGAGATTAAAGACTATTTAATATATAAACCATGAACAATTCTGTGCCAATGGAAACATCATATAGAACTCTGCCTTTGCTGAGTGAATACATTGGAATCCTAAACACTGCATTTAGGGAGTTTAATTTGGTGTGTGGTGGAGGTATAGCTGGCAGGAGTACTTGTTCTATAGCGACCAACCTGCCCAGACCATGAGAGTGGCAAGTCTTTTCTTCCCCTAAAATGAGAGAAAAGGTCTCATAAAGTTTTGTCTCTACCCAAGTAGCATACCTTCCTAGCAGTGGGAACATATGGTGGCTCCTGTCCTTTTTGCTGCTGTCTCTTTTCACAAAGGCTGACTGCTTGCCTGAACTAGGGAGGTTTCCTGCCTCAAAAGCAAGTCTTTGAGGTTTTTGTTTTCTTCTGCTTTCATGTGTATGGCATTCTTCCAGGTTCATAATGTTGAGTCAGTGCTGGCCCTGTCTGTTCGGTTTGGGAATGTCCTGTTAGGTGATTGCTGTACACATGTGTGTAAGCCCCAAGTCTCTAGTCCTAAGGGCTAGTGGTTATGCAGTGCAGGTGAATAGAACAGAGCAGAGCAGCTTTGCCTGGGTTGGGGCTTTGCCTGCCTTTTCTGGATGGCTATAAGTTGCGGATGATGCCTTACGATGGAAGATACCCTCTAACTTTTGGTCAGACTGGCCCCTGAATTCCTGAAAAGGCAGGACGTCCATTTTAGTCATGCACAAAGCAGGATACTTGGTTTTTGACATGTAGCACCACTAATGCTTATCTTTTAAAGATGTTTCCTGCTGATCTCAGCTGTTTTTCTCAGTTCTTGGAAAAACGGTGTGTGTGTGTGTGTGTGTGTGCATGTGTGCGCGCGCGTGAGAGAGAGAGAGAGTGTTTGTGTGTATACATGCACACAAGAGTTGATGCTCAAAAGTTGATGGTTGGAAGAGGAAACAGGGAAGTATAGGTGCTGCCGTGTTCTGAACAATACAACCATAAGTGAGAAGGCAGGGGTAGCTTTGGGAAAGTCACTTCTGTTTCAAGTGTGGATAGCAGTACCTCATTGCAGAGAGGTTTTTGGCCAAATTAGTCAATAGACTCACTGCCTTGTAAAGGCAGAGAAGTGCTCTGAAAGCAATGAGAGTTAGGAGTAGAGGGGCCAGGTGGTATATGTGGGAGCTGAGTGCAGGCTTTGGGTGGTGCCCAGGGTGGGCGGTGGAAGCAGATACAGATCTGGAAGTGGTAGACCACCTGCCCTAGATAAGCCTGAGTAACATGTCTTATGAACTGAAAATATCTGTGAAAATGTTGGGTCGTTTTCCCCATATCATGAGGTGACTTCACAAAGTCAGTGTCTGGAGAGGAGAGGTCTGCTTGCAGCGACAGCTGAATCCTACAACCTGGACTCTGCTGGATTATTTGTTTCCTCCCTGCTCTTGGCCGTCCTGGGCATTGAATATTTGTAGCATATCACTCTTCTCAATATTGTTCTTTAATTTTGACACTCCCAGGTGTTGGAAATGCACAAGGTTTCCAATTTTCTTAAACAGTGAGTACAATAGGAGTTTGATTCATTGGTGCATCTAATGTTAAATGGGAGATCCTCTAGAACACAAATCGGCAAACATTTTCTGTAGTTTGCCAGACAGCAAATCCTTTAGAGTCTGGGGGCCGTATGGTGGTCTCTCTTACCAGCACTCAACTCTGCCATTGTAGCTCAAAAGCAGCAAGCAAATACATAAATTCATAGTCATGGCTACACAGGTTGAGTATTCCTTATCCAAAATGTTTGGGACCAGAGATGTTTTGAATTTCAATTTAAAAAAAATTTTTGAAATATTTGCATATATAATGAGATATCTTGGGGATGAGAGCCAATCTAAACATTCATGTATGTTTCATATACACCTTGTGCACATAGCTTGAAGATAATTTTATACAATATTTAAGTAATTTTGTGCATGAAACAAAGTTTGTGTTATGTACTTATGTGTGGAATTTTCCACTTGTGGCATCACGTTTGGTACTCAAAAACTTTCAGATTTTGGAGCATTTCGGATTTGCAGATTAGGGATACTCAACGTGTATTCCACTAACATTTTACTTATAAAAACAAGTGGTGGGCCAAATTGTAGTTTATCAAGCCTTGCTTATTCAAAGTGGCTTATTTTATTGATCCTTAACAGAGAAGGGCTTTAGTAAAAGCCCTTTCCTGCGTGGGTGGGGGGTAGGGGAACAATTTATAGAATTGTTTAGCCTCCTCTACCCCCAAATTATAATTCCTTAATTAGCGGTTATTAGTCATAAAAGTAGTATACTTCTGTTTATTACTTATAGTGGTTTGAAGGAGTTGAGGATTTTGTACTATTGGTTCTTGATGGAATTTTACTCCTTCCTCTAAAGATCTGAATATATATTGAAAAGGCTGCTTCTGGTAGCTCAGCTGTTTGAACAAGGACAAGTTCTGGGTTAACTTGATTGGGTCGTTATGTCAGACTGCTTGGATCGAAATCCCAGCTCCACTACTTATTAACTGTATGGAGGTAGGCAAATTACCTAACTTCTCTTTGCCTTGGGTTTCTCATGTTTTTAAGTGAGAATGATAATAATACCATCCTCATCAGTTGCTGCAAGAATGTTAAATGTTTTATTGTATGTAAAATGGGTAGCACAGTGACTGTCACGCAGTAAGTGTACATTAAGTGTCAGCTATTATTACATCGATTTCTTCAGTGTCAGAGGTTTGCTGTAGAGTTTTGCTTATGGTAGGCTGCTAGAAAACAGAAACCAGCTATACATTCTCTCCTCTGGTATATTACTTTATTCCCCCTGCAGATGGCTTTACTAATTTTGCTCATTGGTAAATGACACTAATAAGTATAGTAAATTGTGCCTGAGCAGATATTCATGCTGCCCAGGGAAAGCTGTGCACAATTAATGATAAATTTAATTTATTTGCAACAAAGTCCAAGAGCGGATGCTATGGTACTAGTACCCCACTCTGAGGCCTTGCCTATCAACACATCTGCCAAGACTTGCTTTTCACTCAAAAATCCGAAAGGTTTCATCCTCCTGTGTTTTCTGTCTCTGGCAGCTGAACCAGTGCTGTCACATCACAAACAACTTCTTTTCTTAATATACACATCTGGCGTTGGCAGTTGGACTAACTTCATAAGAGCACATGATCATCACTCATTACAAGATTAAAAAGTACCCTATGGCATCATTGATGTTTTTTAACTTTGATCTTTTGCAGTTGTGATTCATCTCGGTTATAAAACTTCCCTTTAAAGGAACATAGCCGATGACTTATTAGAACCTTCATCTTAAGTAGCGTAAACATGAAAATGGTGCACATCTTTACAAAATGCCATTTATTTTCTTTGCCAGCTTATCATTTTAAGACATGACATCATACTTAAGATCCCAAATTTGTAAGTCTTGTGTTTAGGCAAGGCATTTTGACCTTCTGTTGGCAAGCTAGCGCTGAAGAACAACTTTCAGCCAGAGAAGTGGTGTAGCAGGAGCAGCAGTAGTAATGCATTTAGATACCTAACTCTTTTAAACATCAGTTTCTATTAGGATCCCTTGTTCCCATCTGTGCACTTGGTTACAACTCCAGTCTGATTTAAATAATTTCTACAGGAATGTGAAACTTGGTTAGCAACATCACATTCTATAGGAGTGGTTCAGAGTTAGGGAGGGGGACTGATGGAAAAAGGTATTATTCGTTGTGCAGAGGATGGAAAAAACAAAATCACCTTACACAGAATACTTTGGATTCTCTTGCTGTATTTTCAGTTGTCTATTGCTAAATAACAAACTATCTTCAAATACAATGGCTTAAAATAATACCCAGTTTATTATTTTCCATGATTTTGTGGGTTGATTGGGGTTCATTTGGATGGTTTTTCTATTGGTCAGGCTTGGGGTCCATCAGGTAGCTGCAGTCAGAAGGTGGCTGGTGCTGAAACATCCTGGATGCTTCATTTATGTGTCTGATGCTTTGGTGGGATGGCTGGATGGTTGAGCTCGGCTGGAGTTATAGTTGTGAGTCACTACACTCAGGGGTGTTGGGCCTTCTTAAGGATTAGGCTCACAACTGGCATGAATTGCTTCCTCTGCATTCTATTGGTAAAGCAAGACACAGGTGCAGCCTGGATTTAAGGGAATAAACCCCAATGGTATGAATGTTGGGGGCTGTGGTTCA